GTTAAGGTTAGCGTAGCGTATCTCACTCACTCAAGCTAGTGTAGGTAGGCCCCCTGTGTGGCAAAAAAATGCAAAGGTGTTAAATGCCACTGCAGTGTACATCGTATATCACTGAAAAGGTCTTGAGAAAAGCTTTCCAATGGCACCAAGATGCCCCCCACGTCAATAAATTTAATAGGCCTAAGAAAGTTATTGCAAAAAAGAGACATGAGCTTGGACTAGGCTGCAAAGTACAAGCAATAGGAATATGTACAGACTAGATTGTGATCGAAACCAAATTCCTTTTAGGTTTTCAAGAGAAGGATAGAAATAGTAAAAAAAATTTGGGAAAGAAAAGTTTTATAAATAAAAGAAAAGTATATTTAAATCTTGACAAAAGTAAATAGGGGAATAAATAAATATGGCTTTATAGGGCCTAATTTTCTTAAAATCCATGTACATGTTCATTAGAAATCAGAAAAACAAGTCAGCTGAGAAGAAAGGGGGTTCTACGTAATTTTGGTTTCTTTTTAGACATGGGGAAATACCAACATGACCGTGCTGGAGAGCTTAAATCGGACCAGTGCAAAAAAACGAAAACGAGGCTGAGTACAAAAATCAACGAAGATTGCCACATACCTATATTGTGAAATTTCAGGGCAGTCCCCAGGCCTACTGGCACTGACCTTGTCCTAGGCTCTTAGGAGGCTTTAGGCCTACTGTAGGTCTGTTTTTGTTTCTTTAGCTTCTCATTTTATGGTATGAAGTTGAACAGTTCATCAATAAAACCCAATAAAATACAAAAACAAAACAGTCTCTTTTTCAGAACTGATGACTAAAATGAGAAATTCTTACCAATTTTGTTAGTCGTGTCAGTTGAAGTTACATCTACATACATGTAAGCCTAGCCCTAGCGGCAAGATCGTACATGTAAGAACTACATGTATCATTATGAAGGGTTTGTTTGAAATGAATCTGGATCTCGATCAGCGATCCCAACGTTGGTTCACACCATCCATTAGGTGAATTCTGGTGTCAGTGAGGAAAGAAAACATCGGATCAGTGATCACGATAAGGATCAGTATCTTTATGTTAAAGACAGCGTTTGGCTTTCTTTGTTTTTGTATGTCTTTCTCCCAGGGTTAAGTGTAACAAATGGCACAGGTCCGTGTATTCAGTCTGCTGTGCTGGAACCTGGCATTTGACAATGACACATTTTTAAAAAGTCCCCTACTGAACTATCATAGTTTTTGATTGTCCCAAACATAATACATTTAACTTTTTCTGCCTCAGTAAAATCTCACCCCCAAATTAACAGGCACACCATGTTAAAATGTTTTTGTTTGCACTACTCGAAAATTGTGATGGTCGGAAGCAGAATTCTTTCCCTCTACACTCAAGACAAACTCAGAGTATCTTCCTGGGGCAGAATGAGGAGTTTTAGGGGCAAGATTGGCCAGATCTTGATTTATTTGTTTTCCCTACTCTTGTCTTCTCCCAGAGCGTACAGGTCAAGTTGGAGCTGGGCCACCGAGCCAACATCCGGGAGAAGCCCACCCCCCAGGGCTTCACCCACGACTGGCTGGTGTTTGTTCGGGGGCCGGAGGGCAGCAATATCCAGCACTTTGTGGACAAGGTGGTCTTTCAATTACACGAGAGCTTCCCGAAACCCCGGAGAGGTAATAACAATTACACCAATGAAACTTCATGCGTATTGTCACCAAAGTACCAACGTGCATCACTGTTATTACCAGGCTCACTGGGCCGCGAGATCAGTTTTTCAGTAGCGGCTGGAGATCAGTGCAATTTAATCTCTACGTTAGCAGGCAATTGTGGCCTAGTGCCTCGCCTGAGGAACCATAAGCATCATGGCAACCGTGGGGTTCGAATCCACACATGGGCGCACGTGAGTCAACATGAGAACCACTCGACCATTATACTCCACAGAATGTATCCTTTTAAATAGTGCTCTTTAAGAAAGTGAAATCGGCCATGGAAAAGTGCTCAAATATCATCTGGACATTATTATTTATATCTGGTAGTGAAATTAAGGATTCCTCAAAATAGCCGTCTCATTTTGCCATCAGTTGTCAAAGAGCCGCCCTACGAGGTGGCTGAGTCTGGGTATGCTGGCTTCCTGATGACCATCGAGGTCCACTTCCGTTCCAAGGAGGAGCCCAAGAAGGTCATCTTGAACTATGACCTCTTCCTGAACACGGAGCAGCAGCCCCCGGTCAACCACATCCGATGCGAAAAGCTGACCTTCCACAACCCGACCGAGGATTTCCGAAGAAAGCTGTTGAAAGCCGGAGGGGTAGGAACCAACACCCAGACAAACTAACCCCAGTCTCCCTAGGGCAGAAACTTTCCCAGAGTCTCCAAAATCCACTGCCGTGCCGGAATTTAACGGCACATTCCTGGTATTCTCAGTTTCAAGGGATGTCAAGCATCCTTTAAAGTAACACAGATTGAAGTTTCCCATTCCTGCCACACCTACCCAAGCTTTAATTGGGATGTTGAAATATTTTAGAGGGTTGGGGTCATTTCGTGGAATACTTTCTATTAAAAAAAGAAAATCTCAAAAAACAATAAACTACCGAATTAGAACTTTGTTTCACGGAATATGGATTTAACATTGAACGTTCGTGAGTAACTTTACTAACCAAGTTATAAAAATTGAGTTGTGTCTACCAACTCAGAAAATCACCAGTTTCTGAGCCATATCTCTTGAAATATATGGCAAGATTGATCAAAGACCATAGTTGACCATAGTTTGACTTACTGTAATCGAATGCACGTTAGTGGACTGTTGTAGGACTCATCCAGTCAACTGTTCATAACCAGCCTGTGGAGGTTGGTCGCATCGTTGGTTGCCATAAACTGTTTTAACAGTGCAGTGCAGCAAGGACCAGTTATAAGAAAAATGTGGGAATGACCATTTTTATTTTTATTTTTGCTATTTTACCCTTCCTGCTGCCACTTTTTCTCCCCTTTGGCCTAATGATCTTGACAACGGTTGACTAGGGTTGTTCACACTTCAACTTCACTGCACATGCGCTAGGTATGTCACGAACCAACCACTAGTTAACTAGTGGTCCATGATCAAACCTACCCATGAATTGTCCTGAGATACAGATCTCACATTTAGCCAGACATTACTGGAAGGTTATATTTGATGTAGCAGAATGCATCAGGCTGCATCTCCAGTTTGAAATTTTTTGTATTGCTACAAATGTTGAGGCATTTACACCTGGTTTTCAACGCCACCAGATTGGTGTCTTGCCTACTGACCCGGGCATTCCAACCTCCCCTACGGCTTCACCCACTTTCCCGGTGCCAGAGGGTGGGATTGGAGGTAAACCACTGCCCCCGTCCTTCACCGACTCATCCCTGTATGCCAAGGGAAAGCCCCAAGCGGCAGCGTCCAGTCTTCAGGTCAACAAAAAATACAAGGCTCAGGCATCCAAGGTAACAAAAATGCAGAAAAACAACAACAATCAGGTATTTGAAACTCTTAAAAAAGGCATTCCAAAACTACTGGCTAAAAAAGTGGCTTGTTATCTGAAGGTTTTTGGACAAACAGCAAATAGATTGTGTCCAGTCAATGTTTTGTGTGTTGATGGACATTTTACACATCAGTAGTCAATGTGATAACCTCTAGGACACCTGTTATTTGTATCTATTCTCTCCAGGATAGCAGTAAAACTTCATCCAAGCCCATGAAAGACCACAAAGAAGTCAAAACTGCTTCAAAGGAGCCTAAGACATCATCAAAGGAGCCCAAAATAGGTTCCAAGGAACCAAAATCTAACTTCAAGGAGCCCAAACCGGGTTCTAAGGAGCCCAAGTCCAGTAGTGTAAAGGATTCCAAGGTCAGTAGTAAAGATAACAAAACTCCTGTCAAGGATGCCAAACCTGTTTCCAAGGAGCCCAAGTCGGGCTCAAAAGAGCCCAAAACTAGCCCAAAACCACCCCCTAAAGACCCAACCAAGACTAAACCCAGTGTCAAGCGACCTGCCTCTACCTCACCAGCTCCTCCACCAACATCTCAGGACTCTGCCAAGAAGCGCAAGCGGAAGGATTCCAGTGACAGAGGCCCTCACGAGAAGAGTTCCTCAGGCAAGCCATCGCCCGCGGAGAAGGGCCCCTCCGGGGACAAGGTTAAACCGAAGGAGAAAGCCAGCAAACCCAAGACGGTCAAGCCGGCTGCCGTCAGCCAAGGCAGTGCTGGACTCTTCACTCCAGAAATCTGCGTGTCCAGGAAGCCTAAGACAGCACTGCCAGAGCCTCCAAAGGAGCTGCCCCCCTTCGAGGACGAACTGAGCACAGGTGAGGGCGGGGAGGCACACAGCCCCAGCTCCAGCATCAGCTTCTCCTCCCTGCCGCGAGGAGGAGGGGGAGTCTTAAACACCCTCATGGCTGAACTTGGAGACGAGAATGACGACGACGACGATGATGATCAAGACATTGGCTTGCCGTATCGGAAGACACCATCACCAGTAACAACCCTACCACCACTTAGCAATCACTCCACGTCATCTAATGAACAAGACTATGGGAGGATCCCGTCAGGAACGCCAGCCACCTCAGATAAGACGAAGAGCGGTACTAAATCCGGCAGTAGTAAAAAGAACAGCATGAGCAATGGCTCAAAGAAAAATGGATACAGCAACAAGGGTGAACGGAAACAGAAAAGTGGCGAGATCAAACACAAAAGTGTGGATGCCAAACAGAAGACTCAGGACGCCAAACCAAAGAGTTCTGATGGGAAGCAAAGAAGCTCCGAGAACAAAGCCAAATTGGCGGACACAAAGCAGAAGTACGTGGACAAGAAAAGCAGTGACTCTAAACCCGCAAAAGCCAGCGAGGGGAAACCCAGGCAAGCAGAGGCCAAACTCTCCAAGGGGAACCAGGGCTACCTCAACGACTTGGTTCTCTTGCACCAGAAACTGAGCTGCTTACAGAACAGGGAACAGCTGCAGAAGGTGGTGGACTTGATTGAGGAGACCGGACTTTTCCACATAACAGATGCCACGTTTGACTTTGATCTCTGCTCCCTTGATCAAACGACACTCCGGAAGCTGCAAGAGTGTGTGTCCTCGTTTGCGTAGTGTTTGTAGATTCACGTGGACTCAATGACTGGAGGCTCTGTTCAGTTCCTGAATGCCAAGATCACGTATCCCACCTCTGCCACCGGTTTTGTAGCCTTTTCTCAAGTCGGTACTGCTACTGCACGTGCTTTACATGGCAAGTGATATTGCCAGTTACAGGGTGTTTTTAGATGAGTCCATGGCAAGCCACTCTATTTGTAAAGATCTCACTGCAATGTAAACAAACAGTAAGAATCGAATAATTTTAAACTTCACTGTATACAGCATTGTTTCTTTGAAGAGGCATGCCAAGGTCACTGAAATTCTTTTGTGGCTTTGCTCAAAGTGGTTGATGATTTGCCCAGTTATTTGCCAAGTCAAAATATATTCAACTCAAACCTTATCTCCCAAGTCATACTCCCGTTAAAATGCATGTGCTGTTTTGAGCAAGGCAGGAAACAAGATGCCATAAAGTCAACCCCTTATGGTGTTATTTTGCGTCTGCAGTTGATCAGTGAAGAGTGAGGTTTCTTTAAATCGCAAAGTTGACCTCTTACAGGGAGGGCAGTCACCATTTTTTTCCCTCGTGAGAAATGATGTGCTTAAGAGTGTACAGAGAGTGAGGAAGCTGAAACAGACTGCTTGGGAAAGCGGTGCTGTAGGGTTGTGACAGTATTTGAAGTTGTTAAAAAGTAAAGCAAAGGATGCATGGATCTACTGATTTGGGAAATATGTAAAAAAAAAAAAATTTAACCAGTCAAATTTCACATTGCACTGTATTTTTATACCAGGTTCAGGATTAAAAAAGAACTGAATATTTTCATGAAATTTGAGGACCTTTGTTTTCACTCTTCCAGAATTTTTATAAGGAAAATATAAGGATTTTTTTCATGTTTCTTTAAATCCTTAGATCCAAGTACATGTACATGTAATGTTTAAGTTTTAAGAAATTTGTGCCAAAGTGAGCCAGGTTCCCACAATTAACTTGGATTTTTCTTTTTAAGGGGGGTGGAGGGTAGCAGATGGGAGATAGTTTGTGGGGGTCTTTCTGTTTGCTGAACCTGAAATTGGAAGGAACACATTCAGAAGCCAACATGAGTTTGAAACCCAACTAAAAGATGCAGTTTCCTGTGGTAATTACCACATTTATGAGCATGTACTTAAGCTTAGCTCAACACCCATGTTTCATTGTTAAAACCAGGCTACACGTATTCAACTCTGCCATCTCCTGCACTGACCTGTAATGTTGGGAAAGAAACTACACTTTTAAGGCCACAAAAAACACCGGGAAGATTTTGGCAAAAAAACAACTCTTGCTTTCATGTGAACTGTGAACACGTACATGTATGGTGGTAGAGAGGGCAGGGTGCTATCATCAACGGAAATTACAGCAATTGAGGGCACTGAAGGGAAGGTGTGTGCATTTGTTGTATTCATAAATTGTGTTGGATTTGTCAAAAAATATTTCCCCAATGTTCGTAACTTTGTGAAACTTTTTTTTCCTGTTCTTGTTCCTTTTTTTCCCCTCAAAATTAGAAAATGTGCTATCTGTGCTTTCTAACTTGCGGATTCTGAAATGTTGAATATTTTGTTGTTTTTGTTGCTTGAGTATTGTTTCGTTTTTTGTTTTGCTCATAGTTTTTCAAGGCCAAATATTGCAGTGAAATCTTTTATTTCTTGGTGACTCTTGGCTGCAAACCAGGAAACATCGGTGCTTAGGGTGTGGGACTTTTTGGCCAAAATCACATCCATTTTCTTTGCCGGATCTGTGCATTTGTCATTCCATCCCTTTGAAGATCAGAAAATTCCTTCAAGTATGGCCGTCTTTGGATTTTTTCCCCAATGCTAGTGAAACACTTTCATGTATATAGTCTGTACAAAGTTGGTTAATATTTAACGTATTGTTGAAGACAAAACTTTACTGCCACATTTTATCGTCTTGTGTTTTTGTTTCCCGTTTTTTTAGAAGCTACTGATATGTACATGTGTTTTGTCTTTTTTAGGGGGGGGGAGTTAATCAGTTGATTTAAATGAATGATCTTCCAATAGTGGTTTTGCCAGGAGCAATTTCAGATATTTGGCAAAAAGAACAAATCTTTCCCGTTAAAAGGTCAAGCAACTAGTGCTCAGTTGTTATATTTTTTACCAATTACTGGTAAATATTCATGTTGATGTTCAGCTACCACTGTTTAGCCTCTGAAAATGAAGTCATTGCCTAATTTGTTGGACCATGCTCTCCTTCTACATTCGCAATGTGAGCAGAAAAACAAAGTGCTGAAATGTAATTGCAGTAGGCTTCAAGTTGGAGACTTGACCAAGACTCCGACGCTGAATTTCTCGCAATTTCACCGAGTCTCATTTCCTCATTCATGGTCGCAATGACTGTTAACGACAGGTTTTGTATGCAAGTTCCTGACTGGCTCCTACAAAATGAGTTTTTAGCCATTTTTGAGTAATATTGCTTTTTGTACACATCTCTCTGCTTCGCAGATCCATGACATTTGCCCCAATTTGATAAAGCACAACCAAACGTTTCACGTTCATTCTTCTTGAAGTTTTGTTGTATTATATGTATAAAAAAAGTTTATCACCACACAGTATTTTGCATGTTTTGAAAACTTGGATTATGTCTGTATTGCTGCACCAAATGGCTTGAGGATAGTCACGAAACCCACTCTGTACTTTGTATATTTCAAAAACACATGGATGTACATGGATGATATTGAAAGTTACTTGTACATGCGTCCTAACCCTATAGCTGCTGGCATTTCATAAAGGGCAATATACTTTCCTATATTTTGTCAGCATTTAGCTGGATAAACCTAAGTGGAAAATAGTTCCTCCCCCCCCCAAAAAAAAAATATGGGGAAGAAGATCTTGTGTTTTGGGCCCATTTCAAGTCAACAGTGAGTTCTCATTTTCAGCTCAGCAAAAAACCAGATGTTACTAACAGCAAAAAAAATAACACCAATTTTGTTAAGGACCAAGCATACCTGAACTTAAGTTCACTCGAGGTCAGTGCCAAAAATAGAAACTCATGAACTCTCTGCATGTTTATGGTCCAGCAGCAAAAAATGTCTAAGAGTTTTTAAGGACCCTCTCCCCATCCAGTTTCTCCTGCTTGTTCAAGATCTGGCTGATTCCAGTCACCTAAAGATGCCATCAAAGTCACGGTTCTTCCTATAAGAATACGTAAACTTATTTGCTCTGATCTGTGTTTGTATGTTTGGGAAGGAATTTTGAAAATGTACAGCACCCTTTTAAAAGGCATTTGCTTATTTCAGTATTAAAAAACATTCTCCGGGACCATTTATCTTTTCAGTTGACACTTTTGGTATTGGAAAAAAAAAAGGACCCCATTTGTCTATGGAAAAAAAAACCAATTTGTCTTTGAAAAAAGATATGGGGGCCAACAGTTTTAAGAACGAAAGGTCATAAGGTCATGTATAGGTCATGACCTGAATGGTTCATTATGCTGGAAAGGTTGTGTATTTTGCCAAAACCAAAATTAAAGCTGCTTTTTATTTTCAGCGTTCTTTTTCTTGCTCTCACAAAAAGCCTTTTGCTTCAGAACCACTACACGCCCCCGACCTGATGTCAAAGCGGAAACATCGGCAAAACATTTAAAGTTGCCTGTTTTAACAGTTGCAATTAATATTAATTTATTTACTAGTCTTGGAATGAATTTATCACCCATCTGTCAATACAAAAGAGAATGAACATTCCGTTGAAATCAGGAGATGACAAGTTCTGTTTCCATCAGTGAAAAAGTGTGCTATTTGTGTTTACGATTCTAAAGCATATAATCTCATGCGTAAAAACCTTGTCTCGTTCTAATTGCATTCAGTAACATTAGTCAAAAAGAAGAAATGTAATGTTTGTGCATTGTTCCACTGGAACAGTTCCACTCATGAAAGATGGACGGTACACATATTTGTATTCAGTGGTTTCAAATTGTCCCTGAATTTTGTACTCTCATGCACGCATGGAAACCTGAGTGTTGGTACATTGGGAAACAGTGCTTGTGTAAACGATGCCCAAAGACAAATCAGAAACAGTACATGTGTATACTTTGCCCTGGGCAAACAAGAACTGTTAATTTCTCCAGCATCCCAGTGCACCAAAATGAAACTCTGGCCTATGAGTTCCATTGTGCATATTGACATTTCAAGGGACCCCACAGGGCACATCTTAATGGTTACTGTTGCAAACGTTTCCTTTCTCATCCCTTGTTCTTTGCACACCTGAAGGATGTGGGGATATTTCTTAAATTTAGGTGACATTTCTGTGCATTGCAGGACAAGCTTTGGGTTGCCGAGTTCACCTTCTTTTAGTAGAGAGCAGAGCACTGCCTGGTTGTAGGCATTTGCTATCACTTCATTTCCCACAAATATGCTCCTTTAGCACTTTGTACATTTTATCAAGGAGAAAGATGTATTTAAATTAATGGAAACAAGTCTGTATGATATTAAAAAGAGAGATAAGAGATTTTTACTGAAAAAAGATCAACACACGCATGTCGCATTTTTGAAAAACTTCATTTGATGTGTTCCGATACTTTGAAAATTACAGTAAATACATCAAATTAATGAATGGGGGTAATTCCAGAAATCAGGGGTCCGCTTTTTTTTTATGTCCCTGTCACATCTGACATATGATTTTGTAGGTTCAGAACACATTTTCTAATTTCCAAGAGTGATGAATTAATGCAAATTACCTGCCAAACAAATAGTAATAGCTTGAAATCAATGCCAGTGGTATTTCTTTGTCAAATGACAAAGGTCTGATGTTAACAGGGACAAAAAAATGTCACATTTGGACCCCTAACTTCTGGAATTATCCATATCAAGCACGACCATGACTCAAGTATGTTAGTTTCAATCGGTTGTTGGTTGTCAACAAGTTCGGTAAGTGAACAGGTTGTCTGAGAAGTAACAACAGTTTTACCATAAAAAATGATATGTTCAAATGCAAGAGTTCTTTTAAGCTTTCATTCATAGTTTGGATTTTATTTGAGATTCACACTAAGACAGCTAAAATGTTTAATCATGGTAGGCCAATTTCAATCATCGCATGAGTAGTGTCACCACAAAAACAAACAGGAAACTTACTGCCAAGGTTTGAAAGAATAAAAGTATCCCAACCTTTCCAAGACATACAATGTAGGTCACTTTGAAAATTAGAAAATTGGGTTTATGCCGACTTTGATAACAATGAAACCTAATAGTCCTCGGTCCTACTTGCAATTGAGACTCAAACATTTTTTGACAAGTACCTTCAAATTCACAATTGAATGTCCATCAATGATATAGTCAAAAAGAATACAGCGAATGCCTGAAAGTGACAAATTAACAGAGACGACAATCAAAATGAAACACAATACCCAACCGACACTTATAATCCCAACACCTTTTCTAGCAACAGAACTTAGTGAGCCTAAAGACACCCGGCACAGTTCCATAACTCAGTGGAAAACGCGTGTTGATGTGTCATTTCCACTGAACATGGATTATTCCTGCATACCACTGCATACCCTGCGTAAATTAATAGCAACCTGTTGTCCAGAGTCTTCGGAAATCAACCAAAAAAAACCAAATGATCAAATGCTGATCATATCGTAACTAACCCCCAAATAAAAAAATGAAAAAAAAAAAGGCTGACTCAAAAGGTACAATTTTCCAATTCTTTTAGAAATAATTGAGTGCAGGAGAGTCCCAAGCTATATAAACCACATTTGTTTATATAGAGCAGTACGTAATGTTTACACTATTCAAATAATAAATCCTACATTTTCAAAACGGCTTAATGAATTCCACCTCGGAAACAAAATACATTTAGATTGCACTGTCAGCAGAAAGATGCCCCTTTCCTGGTGACTGTGGTGATCAACACTTCAAAAAGAAATCGAAAGACGTTTTGCAAAAATTTTACAAACTTTTAACCAACTAGAACTGGAACTTTCATTATGTTATGTTCCGTGCCAACATTCAAATAGTTAAGTGTTGACATTTTCATGAGGTTTATCAGAGTTTAAAATGTGCACAGATGCAGAAAAAAAGTTTTTTTCAACCAACAAAAAGTATCACTATTTAAAAGCCGAATTGAATTACCAGAGGGAGCTCTGCAATAATTCCTGCAAACAATCACATATTGATGGAGTGGAGCTTAATTATAAAATACAGATTCAGTAAGTTTTACGAAGGGAAGAGTATAAAGTGACAAGTATTTTCCTCGGAGTATGGAAAAGAGGTTTTCCCCTTCAACAGGAAAAATGTACAAAATATAAAAAGCCACGCTCAAATTGATCTGATTAATAGTCAAGCACACACTCAAAAATGGTACAGATGACCACCGTCCTTAGAATCACTGACCATCGTATCTAGGCAACCAAAATATCTGAGATCAATAAATTTCCATATTTATATCATATTTACATGATAGCACACAGGGCAAAGCACTGGGGTTTCTCTGCCTTTCTATGATGCACAAAAAGGTCTTAAATATGAAAAATCTTCTATTTACACTTTTATATTCATTGAAATGCACATGGCATAATATCTTAGATAAAATCGCTGAGACTCCAAAGACATGCATAGAATATGATAGATATATATATTTACTTCAACATTTGAAAAATTTGATAGTAAACTCAGTTCACAACAGCAAACAGGGCTTAGGAAGGAAACGTGGAATTTTAGAATTTATTTTTAAAAAAAAAAAGGAAAAATCTGATCTCTTAGTTTAATAAAATAAGTGTACAATTGAAATCAGATTCACGTATGGGCATGCAAGTCAGAAATCTGTCTAAAATTCATTTGTACATCAAGTTGAAAGTCTCAAGATTTGCTATTTTAGCTGGCCTGAGAGATCGTAACTCGACTTAAGCCACATTCACTCTACTGGGACGCAAGAGGGCGCCTTTACTTGCACAGTTTATCCACTCAAATCTATTACAAAGTGCCAACGATAAGTTTGGCCCTATTTAAATACAAGAGCTACATGTTACATGTTGGTTGGTCACCAGCACTGTGTATCACACTACTTAACAGAAGCAGGACTGAGGTGGGCACCAGCTAAGAAGTGTATATTCTCCTTTTCACATAATGCATCTCTGTCACACTGCGAAGCATACCGCTGAAAGCACTACTGACTACATGTATCTCACTTTGACACTGACGCATCACGTCTTCAACCTTGCAACACTGTTCTTGTGATAATGCACTAGCTTTTCTCGTAACCCTGACTGCATTAATTTTCCTGGCATCTTGCCAACGATGAGAACTTTCCATATTTAAGTACCTCCCCTTTAATAACTTATGAGCCCTGCCTCTATGTATTCACAGAGTTATGTTCAATAAAGCTTAAATGCAGAGGACTGTGTAGAGAATTTCTTTACAGTTTACAAAAGAATACTACATGTACATGCCTGTGGAATGTTTGGTACATTAAGCCGTAAATATAGTTTTATATATATACATGTACTGTACATTTGAAGCTTACATAAAACGGCATAAATTTGAAATACACTTTTCCTTGATTTTTGTGCTAGGCTTTGTGATAATGAAAACCTGAATTGATCAACTGAAGAATTATTTTAATTCAATGGATGATTTCGTTATCCTGAAAGATATTTTGTCAGTATTCAGACACAAGATACTGAAATGTCGGAATTCTGAAAAATTACAATCTAATTTTAAAAAAGCTGCATATTCGTAAGTACATCCATTGTTAGCCTTTTCACTGCAAAACTCTTGATGTGCTTGATATTGCATACATGTTCATATATTGAATGCTTGAAGGTATTTTTGTATTACTTTATATATTTGATCGTTACATATTGTTTTTCTCTTCAATCCTGCTCGAAAAACTGATTTACAGCAAACTGAGCCAATTCTGTAACTTAGCAACCACAACGCAAGACTTGGTTATTTTATTCAAGTTTCTAAACAATCACCACAGCAAAGTTTGTGAAGGAACTGAAATGACGTGATATTTGGTTGGATTGTGGGAAAACTCTCCATAACCTTAAATCCAGGGGATATACTGAAGGCAAGTTCGGGCGTGAACTACAGTATGACCACTAGTCATTTGCTTTTTAACAATGTAACTTGCAACATAGTTACACTTGAGTAGCCCCTTGCTGAACAATTCTGTAAAATTTCAATCATGCTTTGCTGTTGGTTGCCACTTATGGCCAATGACATCTCATACAATTATTTCCATGTGAATGGCTCCCTCCATGCTGATAAATGAAATCGGCTATTGGTAACCAGTGTTGCGACTATGCCCAGGGTGAAATGGTTGACTGGATGGTCCAAGCCATCCAATAGTCAACTATAGTTGTCCCTCAAACCTGCCCAAAGTTTGTTTTTTAACTGCAACTTACTGTGTCATAACAGCAGAATCTTCTCCTGTCGTGCCCACTCCCAGACAGAAACCTGCACAGCCCTGCTTAGACAACCTCACTCTAGCACAACAGCCAAATGACTTTGAAGCACATGGCTTTTTTCAAATTTCCAGCCACATGGGCAGACAGAGAGATGATGCAACTGCCTAAGCTGGACTGATTTACTCCTTGCTGGGGGGTGCAATGCATGTGAGGTGCAGGCTGTACCAAAAGTAGAAGACGGGGAGGTAGGAATACCTGAGGGGCAATTAACAGGCTGTTCCAGTGTGTCCTGCCCACTTTAATAGCAAGCGTCAATAAGCCTTTTGCAAGTTATTATTTGAATAAAATCTGGTTCACCTAGCTCTTCAAATTCACGTGAACACAACAATTGGAATTCTCCATACTAAAGACACTGTTGCTATACCTCATGATTCGGGGCAAGCTTTTGCTAAGTTACATAAGAGACACCTTGCACCAATACACTGTTTTCCATGGATAAGGCACAAAGGAACCAGTCCATTCCAAAGATGGTGGTTACTATGCAAAGCTTGCCCTGAATCATGAGCTATAGCAACAGTGTCTTTAGTCTGGGAAACTCATATTGGTATGTTTGTGGGTAAACAGATAACTCAGCCTTGTACCAGATTTTATTCAAATTTAACTAGCAAAAGGCTTATAACACATGTTTTTGTGCCAATGCTTGTGCCAGACTTTTGTCGAGGTTGTGCACTCTCAGCTGTGATTTGGTTAAAATTTCCTGTGGGAGGGGCTTCATGACTTGGGCCACTTTGATTACACGGCTGCCTCTTAAGTAGTTAAACCTAATCATTGATGAATAGCTTGAACATTAACTATATATGGTATGAGCCAAAGATGTTGATCAATATTTACTCTTAGTAAAATACTACCTAGCTGTTTACCTCCGCAGTACATTACCCATCAGCAAGCCCTTTTGAACTTCCTTGGTTCTATAAACACTGATTCCTGGAAATCCTGAAGCCATCTCTCGGAATCGCAATATTTCTGATCTCTATATTGAACTCATGAATATATGTAGCCAGTATTCCAAGAAATCATCCAATGAGAACATCTCACACAACCGGGACTTCGTCCATTGAAAAACAAAAGAGCAAAATGTGGGTTACGGTGCTTTCATTAGCCAAGCATCTTCACACTTCTGGCTCTCAGCTGCCACAGAATAACAGCAGCCCACGAGGAGGAATGGATCAGTTGCTATAGTAACACCTCTCTATATCACCAAGTAAGCCTTTAGGCACAGGATTGTGATGTACACTAGCCACAGCACTGCTAAGAGCACTCCTGAGAGATGCTTTGTCACCTTACGCCCTCCTAACTCTCCACCGAAAAGCTGTTCACAAAAATCAAAAGAACAGAAATTCCACATTCACAGAGAATTCTTATGCAACAATGCACAGTGTGAGGTAAATGATTCAGATTTTTGCTTTTTCAAACGTGACATTAAAACTGCGCGCTCAATGCTTCCTCTGAGCCTGTGAGCAGACAGAAATACAAGCAACTATTTAATTCACACAAACAAATTTCCAAATACTTGAATTAAATGAAATAATAACACTGGACAGCTGAGACGGGAACACGAGTAGCGTAACTTAAGTTGAGAAAGAAATGAATAAATGAGCCTGTAAAATGAACCAGCCAGCATGCAAATCAATCGAAAAGTCTCAAGCCAACTTGATGATAATCAGCCAATAAATGGAACAACGATATCATGGCTCCTACTCCTATTCGGATGAGAATTTCCTCAACATTGACAGGATAAACATGGAATGGACAAACAGCAAGCGCTAGGTGGTTTGTACGTGGTTCGAGTCCCACCCGTATGTCCCAATCCCTTCCATGCACATCGGTGCCTACCTTTCTCCTCAGGATGAGTATTAAGATGCAGACACTCCCAATACCGGTGAAAAGGAGTACCGACATGAAGAGGTTTCCCTGCTCTATCCTGAGTGGACCTCTTTTGGTGGTTAGGTTGTACATGACACTAATGATCCAAGGAATACCAAGACCAAGGAACACGTTCACGCTGTTGCTGCCTGGAAACGCAAAGTTTGACAACACAACATATATTTCACCCATATACATGTTGACAATCTCATCACAACTGGAGTTCAGTATCATAACACCACCAGATTTATTAGTAGGGCATTATATGGAACTAAGTTACCACCTGCACGACAAATAGCATCTATCTTGGACTCAAAGTTGGTTGCTTTTTCAACTCTTTGTTTGGACATTTTTAGCTTGAGCAGGAAATTTTGTAAACTTGGGGGTTGAAATCTGTACAAGACTTAACTAGAAAAGACTAGGAAATTAGCATAACTGAGGGAACATATCCTGTAGCAATTTGCAACGGGGTGGTTGGGTGGGCACTGAGAGGGGTGAAATTCCCTCCCCCTTTTACGGTTCCTTTAGGTTGGGTGGAGCAAAGGAAGGTGGGGGGAGGGAAGTACTAGGCAGATTAAAGTTCAAGTACCTGTGATATTTCCAATTGCAGCATCGGCAAACTGATCATGAATGGCTGCCGTGCGACTGGCGAAGGTGTCGGGTACACTGGTCCCCAGTGCAATGATGGTGATACCAGCCACTGCTGCTTTAACATACAGGACACAGCCAAACAGTGAAGCAAGCTAGATAAAAACAGGGGAAAAGAAGCAGGTTTTATTCATGTTTTATTCCCGAACCTGTTCTCCTCAGGAATCAATCCCAGACTTCACTGTTTGCCCTAAGTTCTGAGTTATTTTTGGAGGGTGCTGTTGCCGTGATGTCCCTTCAGGCACTTGCTGTTAAGTTTGGGGACTTTCACGCTTGATGCGTAAATATGTAAATAAAGTTTGCTCAATTACTCGTGTCTGACCAACAAGAACACTGTGCAATGATTTTCAAAATGCTAAGCAAAACAGAACATTTTATTTGCATAAAAAGTCCAAGTCCTTAAAAAATGATGACACAAGGACTCGAGTGGAGTATGTACTGGATGCCAGAATTCCTTTAAAATTACTTCCTGAACCTCTTTATGTAAACAAAAAAATCTGACTTACCTGTTCCACTATTGCACTTAACACACCAATGAAACAAAGAGACAACCAAAATGCTGGCCAACCACCCCAGACGCTCCTAGAGAGATAAAAAGGTAAGAGTGATTTAGGCCTGGGGAAAAATTTACCTACTTTCTCCTCCACATACACTTCCTTTTCTGAGTTTTATATCCCTTCCTTCCCAGAGTTTGAAAAGATTCTCGTATCTGGTTGCCTGTGTGTACATTTTAGAGAGATCCAGAGATCTTGTCTGACCTTCTTACCTTGGTGGGATGAGTGAAAATATGACTTTCCAGAGGAACGTGATGAAGTGAAAGAGATAGTCAACCTTGGCTGGTGGAATCTCGTTTCCTTGCTCGTCCTTGTCTCCTCCTACAGTCATTGCACTGCAGTCAAGAAAATCCCGACCAACAATCGATCAATTATCGATGAGACGTGAAGGCAATATTCATTCATGACCAACTTGAGTGATTTTCACTGTATCACCCAATGAACAACATTTCTTCTGCTTAGTTCAGTTGGCAAGTAATCACTTGCTTTTATTGGGCTCACATGTAGGACCATAATAGAACGGAGGGTATTTTGTACGACACCTTTTGATTTGGTCGAGCCATGTTTCTTCCTCTTCTTCCTCGTTTTCAGCCAAGAGAGTGGCCAGTCGCTCCGTGATGTCATCTAATGAGGAGAAATAAAATGACTGAATCAACAGGTCGAAAAGAAAAATTGACCAGAACTGGATTAGGACCTGGGACCTCAATAACGCGGTGTCAGTGCTCTACCAATTAAACTGAATATTGGGTTGAAAAACAAGAAACTGACTGAAGCAAGATTTAAACCGCTGACCTCCAGATCACAGCAAGAGTGCTCTACTGACTGGAATGAATATTGACTGAATATATAAATGTAAAGCCTTTCAAGTATTTGAAAACCGTAGGAGGTTTAGATATGTGCTTACCAAGCACTAGATTGGCCACTGCAGCGCTGTGTTCTCCGAGTTTAGCTCCTAAGCTTGGGTTCCTTAATGTAATCACAAAGTTCTTTGGCTCCTGAAGAATCAGAAAATAGACAACAAAAATTTATTTAGGCAGCAACACGTGACAACCTCTGCATTGCAGGCAATTAAAAAGCAAATCCCTGATTAAAAAACAGGTATTTACTTCCTGATATGCTTCTACACGTATTGCATTTTCAAAAAGAGTAAATAAGGCAGAGATTTTCCAAAGATCAGGGAAACTTTCAGAAAGTCCCATAGATATTGGATTCCCCATAATTGTTACTTGCAGATCCTTTTCCCTTCAAGTCCCTGAAAAAATGCTCATCAAAAGAACCTCCCCTTTGATATAAAAATATAATGAATAGTCATGAATATGCATTCACAGAAGGTTCCCCTTCTGCATACCTTGGTGTTTCTGTTGACTTCAATTTCTAAGTGCTTGCTGGTTTCTCCGTGCTCAAAAAGGAGAGTCCCTGAGGTCGACCGGTAGTCTGCAGGATTGACGTCCGGCCCACCGCGGGCTGAGCCATCTCTGCAATCAGACAAAAAACCACAAAAGAGACAAACATGTTGAGACAAGATGATTTAGAGATGATGTGGCCACCATGAAATGCCGCATAACAGGCTGAGCTGATCGTTAACTGCTGACAATCACTGACCACTCAAAAGCCTTCTCCTTGTTTTTTCCCTTTGTGGTTGCTAAGTTAATTCTTGTAAAGATGGCTCCTGTTGGCTGGAACGTGGTGATTGATCATGATGCAGAGACAGGCATGCACAGTAATCAGACAATACTGAGGAGCAGGTTTCCAAAATACATGACACTCTAACAAAAACACAAGCGGAAAACAATTTCAAATGACCATTTAGTGTAAGCAAAGGCGATTTGATAAAGCAATCCGTACTCACACTGTTGCATACTGGATCGAGACTATCCCATCTGAGCCATTCGATCTCAGCACGGTGGCCGTCACAATTCCCTTCTCTAAGTTGGCAGTGTAGGTGGGACTGTCAAATGAAAACTCACCAGGAACTGAAAGTCAAAGCAAGAGGAAAACCAACAGAAATTAAGGCACTGAAGATAATGGTTGTAAGCAATGTTCATGCAAATATTTATACATATCCAAAGAGCTTCTAAAACTTTCAAAATCTTCCATGCTGCAGGAAACCAATGGCACATTCTTTGTTCTTGAACCGAGAATCAAACAAATTCAAACCAGCAGTAACAAAATCTATTTTAGAAAAACAGTGAAAGGCATGTTTCCTATCTATATCAAGGGTTTCTTTCCCATCTGACATTCAAAAGAGAATAGCAATAACCTCATAAACCCCTCCTTTTCCATAATTTATTGAAAATGAGTTGTTTTTCACTCCCTGCAGTGAATGTCAAGAAAAGTTCTTCTGACATCACCAATTTTTAATGAGACAGGAAATGATAAATTCTGAAACACTACTGAAATCCTTCTTTTTCACGTTTCTATAAATAATTGCAATAATTAACGTTTCATATGCCGAGCAGAAAAGTGAGCAAGTGATATGAAACTTTATTCTTGATGTGGCATAGAGGGATCCCAATACAACGCTTTTAGCGTCAATCTGCGCACTTCCGCATTTGAAAATGAGGCTGTATGTGTCAGCTTCAATTCTTAATACGATCAGACGATGGAAAGTAAGGAGTCAAGACACAAAATACATACACGTATGTTAAATTCAGACTTTTCAGGCTGCAAATTCTTTTTGAAGAGTCTTTCAGGATGACTCGACACGTGAAATCAAAACAAAAATAATGGCAATTTACCGCGAACTAACGTACCTGCGATGGCCGTGATCTTGTGCAGTGGGCGTGGTTTAAACTGAAGTGGTGTCACATTTACAAACGGGATACTGCATGTACTGTGTCGACTCCGCGGGCACGCGCGAGGAAGTTCAACACAGAGAGCCTCGGTTTCGACGCGGATATGCGCAGACGGCGCTAATTTCAAATTCATCTATTGCACTGTTTGAATGCCACAATCTTGTGGCAGGATTCCGGTTGAGCCATTTTTGGGAATGGAGAGCAAATGCCGGACTTATAAGGCCCTGAATTAAAGGTCATGAAGGAACAGTAAGCTGACCATTCTAAGAAAGGTAAAGTTGAGTTGTGTAAGAACTGACCGCACTGTCAGCACATTGAAATATATGTACTCACCGTCATCATCGATGATTGTGACCCGGGTCAGGCTGGGGTCTCCCAGCGCCCCTCCTCCATCCGGGTTCTTCAGGATGATGTAGAAATCCATGTTGCTTTCATACTGGTTGTCATTGATGATGGGAATGGAGATGGTTTTACGCCACTCCGTCTCTTGAAAGACCTTTTGGGATGGAGTGGGAAGGGCAAGCAGAAGATTCAAAGGAGAGGTGAGGAAAAAATGAGAAATTTTAGGGAGGAGTAACGATGTGGAATCAATATCAGGTAAATGAGATACAGTTGAGGTGAAGGAAATACAATGAAATATTTCAATTGGTGGGGGGGAGGTTTGGCAAAATGAGACAATACTGGGCAGGGGGAAATTGAAAGCTCAATATATGGGTGAGGAGAGGCATTGGTGAGGAAAAAGAAAACAAGATATCATGACTTGCAGACGGACGAAGGTATTAAAAGCAGTAGGAAGCAAAAGGATCTTGTGAGCTGGCCTTCAAGTCCCTTAATATAGGGATCTGACACCCTAATCTTTGACATAGAAAAATGCTCAAACGTTAGATAAAGGTTTGACCCACAAGGTTGGGTCACACACTGGATGCCTTAACTATGGATGGACGGAGATTTCAATTTCCAAGTTCTGGCAGACTGGATAACAATCTTTTTCAAAGGTTTCCCAGCCCAATTTTGGCTAAAAAGTTGACATTCAATATTCAATCAGCGACTGGGTGTCCCAACTTTGAAAATGTGCAGTCTCAACTTTGGAGAAAGACATCATATCCCCACTTTGAACAGACTTCAACATACCAAGACTCCTTGTGTGTATTGGAATTCAGTTTCATATTTGGCTGTTCCTTCTCTTGTCTCATAGGCTATGCTGACGACCGAGTTGATGTAGCCATCCTCCTCTTTCTTGCTGTTTTCGTCTTGGTACCTCATACGTGGAGGCTTTTCCATTTTCCTGTGAAAAAATCCAAAGTCATAACATTACTTTCTGGATACCCCCCAAGCTGTTTTTATAAGATGACATGTCACAAAAGGCTGAACTTCTGCCAAAACATGCTGTCTAATGCACATTACACAAAATACTTGAAGCAGTCTGCACTATGCTCTGGGCAAGTTGGGTAAACGAGCCCGGGGGACACTGCCCCCATTCTATCCATCAAAATCATCACTCTCTATTTGATATATACTGCACAGGTAATATAAAAATCAAAAGCTTTTGTGACGACTTCTCCAAAATTTGATGACCTACAACACATACAGCGAGATATCGCCCACCTTAAATCAACATGGATCACTTCCTTTGCAATAGAGACATATCAGTGCTTAATGACTTAAAAGACCTCAAGAAAAACGGGTGTTGATGATGACTGGTTGTCTTTTTAACATAGAAAATCTCTTCAAAATGTTTGCTGACATTACTTTAAAGGTATCCAAAAGTTAAACAACAATGCTAGGAAACCTTGCTGTGGCCTGGACTCTTGAATCTTTGATGGAGCAGAGAAAAAAGGAAGATAATGAGTATAGTCTTCTTTCCTCCGAGAAAAGAAGGAACAGCCATCAAACATTGAGGCAAAGTGCATGTTGCCATGACAACAACTGCATCCATCAGATGCCTAAAAGGGAGGTTTCACCGTCCAAGGTCATTGTTGCAATATTATTGGTTGCTACGGAAACAATATCCACTAAATAATACAAACTAATTACAAACAGACAAGGCAAGTCACTGTAACAAAGCCTTTTTCTGCTAATGAAAGGTGCACAGAACATCTCCAGGAAAAATTCAAACCCTTCTCTCTTTATACTGTAGCACATGAAGCAGGAAATGAGTGTTTGTACCAAGACATAAGCTTCCATAAATGAAAAGCAGTTAGTGTTATAAAGATGCATTGTTTGCCATTTCTAGTTAAACAGCCCAAAGTTATCACAATCAATCGTTTTAATGAAAAAATCCAGAAACAACTCATAAAACCAAATGAACAAAAAGTTTCTCAACATCATAAATAGCAAACAAAAAAGAGAACAAAGAATATGAAAAACAAAGATGAACAACAAAGTTATGCACTATTATTTTGTGCTGAAAAATTTAATTCCTAAATAATTTTAAAATACACTTTTCAGGCCTCTGTCAGCGTCACTTCACTGTTTGCATTGATCACAAGCACATTTCCATCTACGATCATGTATTGGGGGCTTTCAGAATCCAATTTCCATCCTGATACAACTCTTTAATTCTGGAGCCCATTGCACTCAACCACTCTGAATATGCCCCCCCCACTATGCCACTGGAAAAGAAGATAATTTTCGTTGTCCACCCTGTCAACAACATTTTCTGAGATAATGATGACTCTGACCAAATTTGATGAAAACTGGTGTCTGGTTTCGTAACATCAAACAGCCAATTTTGATGAATCATGTTGCCGGCACTTCGTTTTATAGGATTTCAAATGAAGAAGCGTAAAAGTCAACTCGGACCATGGTGGAATTAAAACCAATCAGTCAGGCATGGCTTTCCTTGAAGTATAATAATGTATCATACAGTTGACACATCATTGTGATGTGGCTACAGCTAATTTATTTATCTTCCACATTGCCATGGCGACCACCACGCATTTGGCACGGGAACAAAAGAGCCGCGGCATGTCAATGTTTCAAAAACTCAACCAAAAAAAATGACATTTGTCATTTTGCCTATTCCGACAGCATTCCTGTAAGCTAAGGCTGAATCTTGAAGCATCCTGGGCATGGGAGTAACGTGAATGGGTGGAGAAGTGGTGCCATCAACACAACTTGATGGTGACTTGCAAGTAGTAAGGAAACCAGAAAATGTTCCATCCAGAAGTTATGATCTTTTTCCTCGGCTGTTTGGGCCCTTTTTAGCCAACAAAAAAGACTGATTTTTGTGACAAGAAAGAATAAATGGGACTTTCTCTCCTATCAGAAAAAAAACCTCTTCCTGTTACCCATTCTCGAGTACACTTAAATTAAACGATTAACTCTTGGCATGGGGCTGTAGAGCTTAAGATGATGATCCAACTCATGACTGTTAAAAGCCATGTACAATTTAAGTCTTGAAAAATCACAGAAAATCAATTTGAATAAAAACACAAAAGAGGAAAAAGTTTGCATTGTTACTTACCATTAATGCCCCACCATTCTTCCTGTAATGTAAAATGAAGGACAAAAAAGTAAATGACAATGATTCCTTTGAATAGGAAACACAAGTGAAAGATTAATGCTTGGGATACAAAATAACACTGAAAATACACTGCAGTAGAATTGAGTCCGGATCATACATGGTGTGAAATCAAACAGAAATTTTGCAAATTTGTGCTGTCGGATCAAATATTTGAGTTGGTGAATTTGCAACAGTTGAACACATTTCACCTCAGTTTGATGCAAGTTTTTAGTGACGTCAATGTTAACTTTGCTTCATTTTCACATTTGTCTGAAGTATGAATGAAACAAATATATTCTCTTTTTTGCCCTGAAATTATTCATTTCTTTGTTTACACAACAACATCGTGAAACTTTTTTCTTAGCTGAACTTTTCATTAATGACAAGATTTCCCTTTGATAAATATGTTTCATAAACTGTGCTCTGAGTTAATCAAGTAATAGATTTCTTTTTAACACTGGGTTTGTGTAAAACCATTCCTTTTTACATCCATTGCAAACTTAGTTTACACTGCACCAGATGAAGACAAAATGATATCATACATGTATGTTGACCAAGCAAATTCGGAGCATATTGTGCTATCATTAATTCAGTACAATTGCAAGCATGAATGAAAAAATAAACACTTGGTATGATTCATCGAGTCTCCATGGCTTATATTCAAAACCTGTAAAAATAAAATAGTAATGAATTTATTAGCAGCTACCTCGATCGCTACTCCAACAACATAAGCATGTGCAGGCAGCTTCAGCCAAATTAAATCATCGCTCCAAAGTTGAATTTTAATTTCTGGAGTGGCTCTGGGGAACCTTAACATATACGCAGCAGTTGTTGGCAGTATGTACATACTGTAAACTACTCCATCCATCAAATTCAACCAAGCGTTGTCGGTCATACTCAGGGATCAGGGCATAAAGTGCAGGCACCTGGCCCGGCTTCTGGCCACCCACGCCATGTTGTCAAATGCCACCACTTTCAAGGTCTGCCACAGCATCTTGGGCTTTTGACTATCACGGTCAAATACAGAGTTACGCGTTAACGCGTCCTCAGATGACAAGAGCTTTGTATCCCTGGGTAAGGCTCAAGTAAACCTTTTGTGCATTCATTGTAACTAAATTAAAGTAACAAAAACAGCCTCTGAGACGCCATGGAGATGTCAGCAATGCATAACCACGATTTGGCATTATGGTCTGCAATGGCTGTGACTCATCCACACTGCAGAAAGTATGTAGCCAAACTCAAAGCTGTAGCCACTCGGTGTCTGATTTAGACAAAGTCTTAATCTCTTGGCTCCTAGTTCTACCTTGTATTATTGTGCATGAATACATCTGGCATCCCTATTTGAAAAATGTACGTAATCTTTCAGGTCTTGAACCAAATGCCCCCATACTAGTGTTTTTAGTACCAAATTTCTTTTCAGCACTCATTTTAACAGATGTTGATTTAACTCTGACCAAAGTTAACAAAATGTACAGGTCTACTGTATGTTATAGTCAAACAGTACCCACCATGCTTTGCATTCTTTCAGAGTGTTTTATCAATGTTATTAGACGTCAAACACAGCCTAATTGGATGGGGAGACAGGTACCGACAAACAATGCTGATTACCAGTCCTCTGCGCAATATTCAATCGACACTCCATTAAAATGGAGGAGTTAGACATTAAGATGCGAATCCAGGAGGCCTGTACTCCTAACAATAGTCCATTACTGTCAATTTGTACCAAACATCTGCCTGGCTAGACTGGCTTTGAAAGTTCAAAGCCCTGTTGGCCACTAGAGAAGTGTCATTAAAGACTGAGTGAAATGAAAACAGGCATGCTGACGATATTCCGCAAAGCCTCTCTGAATAATCTACAGAGATAGAATATCTGCGGGCAGTACTTTCTGTTACGTAGCAGAGAAAAATATCCAGAAACTGGAGATCTATGGTGACATTTGATCAGGACACGTAATCTAAACAAGTTGAATATTTGACTTTTTTTTTATGCTCCTGGGCATTTGCGCCGTTGAATAACAGATGGTCTGATGACTAGATGATTACAGCCTATAGCCCTATAGGCACATGATGTTGCCTTCAAACAGAAAAACTCTTTCAAGGGGTGCAACTGGGGAAAAATAAAATATCCATGAAATAATCAGTACAGGTTTGTGGGCCCGCAGCAGCACAGAGTCTATGGCATAAACACATTTGTGTTTGCCTACGGATCAGCACTCTGAAAAATATCCTTTCTTGTGTTCTATATCGATTTCAGATCTAAAAACAACTAAATAGTAAACACACAATTCGACAAAAGTGAGCATGTTCATTGTTAGTTTTGACCCAAGCCTCTGATAACCTTTCACATAGAGTTGACAGTGCAAGCAGTTGACAATGGATGTGAACCATGTGCAGTAAGCCGAGTTTATTCAACCAGCCGGGAAAATGTAGATACGGCTCACATTTTTTGAAACAGAAATATCAGTGTTAATAGCACAGTGCACAATTTTTGGAGAGCACTACAATGGGCCCAGGAGCACACTGCTAAATTTCAAAGCCAGAGAGCTACATCAGACATATGTTATGTCAAATAAAAAAAGTTGAGACAACTTGAACTGGAAGGCAGTGGAAAGATTAATTCTGGTATCAAATCTAAAACAACAGGATGGGCTGAAAATCAAATCAAGCAATTAGCAAACTAGACTAGCGTCAACAACTGGGCACCTCCATTGTCACAGACTTCATACAGAAACAACACTGCATGCCATCTAGGATAACTAAAGTTGGAAGCTACGTATTCTAACAGCCAGGAAACCATGAAATGTGATTCAGACGAGCCAGTGTGTCGTAACATAATCTTCTGAGGCCATCAAGAGCTGCATCTCCCTCTCCACAATTATCTTCGACAAGGACAAAGCTGACTGTTTTTCTTCTTCCCTACAAGAACTTGCCTTAAATCCATAGCGATTCTGGACTTCATGGCTTACAACCTAGGGGGATATACAATTCCACCCTTTTTAGCTTTCAGATTGCCTGATCCTTATTTGTCAGATCAGGGTTTCAAACAATAATGGAATTTCGAATTGAGCTGATGGCACTGCTATCTCTCAGCAATCATTAGGAATCCAAAGCACTGGCATGCCCTGGGCAGAAAAGCTAGCCACAAAAGCAGTTTAACAGTGGAATTTTGACATTTCAAAGGATTCTGATTCTTCATTCTCCCACTCCATTTTGACTCTGAACAGTCCCATGGAACTTCATTCACTTGTGCAACCTATAGGCACTTTTTCCCACCTGAAATGTTTTATGCCTCCTGCTTTTAATCTCCTTCTGTAGATGTAACGCCGCCATCAATGAGAAATATTTTGCCAGTTTTTGAAAAACAACTCTCTTGCATGTAAACTGTATGAACACTTTCAACATTCTATACGCTTTCGAAGTAACTTTTTCAAAAATCACAAAATTATTTAAACTTAAGAGTGAATTTCTGTAAAGTGTGTCAAAAAAATCTGTAAAAATGTTGCAGAAGTCATGGGCTTTGGACAGAACAAATCCAGCGAATACAACACAAAACACTGTTCAGTGGCACATACATTGCAGTAGCACTATTTCTGACCTTGCATCTGTTCATTACTAGAATGCTCCTAACCCAGAATGTAGGTCGTAACTGGTGTGAAAACCGAAAATGTCTTTCAGTTCAAAGAAACACATCACACCCTGTCTTCGTTTAGAACAAAAACTGCCCCATGGATTCGACAGGCTGCATGCTCATTCATGTACAGAACAGGGTTTCAAGTAATTACGGTAATTTATTACCATCAGGAAAATAAGGGTAATCTTTTCACCATGCTCTGCATATGGGGAAAAGGTGAAGGGTCTCTCTATTTTTAAGGACACTTCATTTCCTCCTTCTATATACAGACCTCTCAATCTCCATTCCATCAATTCTCTATAATGGAGGCCCAGTACGGTGCTTGGAAGTCATGATTCACGGATTTTATTTCCCCACTGGACGTAACATGATTCCCCTTAATATCGAAACTTTCATTCTGGGTCCCAGGGAACAAAGTAATTGATTTGTTCTGTCTCTCTTGGAAGAAACAGAGGATGAAATAAATGCCAGGTTATAGTTCATTTTATCCTTTTCTTTTTTCTCTTTTTCTTCGGTGTTCCGCTCCAGCTCAATTTTGGTCCGAAAAATTTGAAAGCTACATGTATTCTGGAATAGACAGTATTGTTTTATCGCTCATAACACTTTCAGACTTTTCACAAACACGGTAGCAAAGGCTACACCGACAGTTTCATAGTGCATCTGTTTGACTCCCACTCCGCTTCATTAATGCTGTCACTACATGCAGAAATGTGCGCCCGCCTGGACCAATTAAGGGGCTGGTGATTAACAACCTGAAGTGAATCAACCCATAAGGTGACTGCACCTTTCTCTCCTACCTAAGCTCAGACTGTCTGCACCAGAATAGGCTGATCCAGCAACCAAAATTAGAAAGTCAGTACTGCAACAAAATCAATCTGGCATATTAAGGTAACACTCCTTAAATACTTTATTGACCAAAATACCAAGCTTGAGTGTGATACTGTAACCCTCAATCACACTCCTCTTCCATCAAAATTAATTTGAAGCTATGCATCTAAAATTTTGCCCACAAATTACAAGAAAAAAAAAGCAAAACACTGCAATGCTGGATTCAAACGGAGCCAAAAGCCAAATGAAATCTCATTCAAAGGTTCTGCAGGGGTCCGGAGGATAGACAAGGACACTTGGATGCAAATCACGGCTGATTTGTCTTTGACTTCTGCTACTTTTGTTTCCATCCAGCAGGAATCACCAGGCAACGACCTCATCAGGCAAAAGCCAGCAATGGTCCACCCTGGCGATCTGACAGTCCACCCGTCGGTTAAAAAAAAATCTTAGAAATTTACACTTGGCTGACTTGGTCATCGTCAAACCCTTCACGTTTCAGTCTTGTCCTTGTCGAGAAATCTCCTAAATTAATTTTCTTCACGGAAGACTACTGACGGGATACTCCCTCCTGCTCTCGTATCTACATATCTCCAGCTATTTTTTTCTTTTGCATTTGAGAAGGATCCTTCAAGGATAGAATCACAAAACCCTAAAACAACTGGAAAGCAATTTTGAGAGGCTTGACTTTTGCTCACAATCATGGCTTCAAATGACAGCCAGAAACTGTATGCAGGTTTACATGTATACCCCACAGCCACAAACACTTTCTGATCGGATGGGATCTAATCTTTTGGGTGATGAGAAACATAAATTGCAGATTTGAAGGTTACTTCTGAGCTTCTGAACTTTTTAGAGCAAAAATTTTCAACACAGCAATGAAAGGTGGGAACAAATAGTACAAACTCTTAAAACCCAAAGTGACCAAATGATCCATTCTGCTTTAAGGGGTTACTTGATTCCATCCTTTCCAATGTTCTAGAAGCTGAAATATTGGCTGGTGTTTACTTGGCCCAAATTCTGTCCTTGTTGCTTCAACCAGGATTTCCCAAAGCACTCAAGCATTTTCCCAGAGGGTACAAGTGATGGGGCCTACTCACGGCCCTCGTAGCTGAAGACAGATCAGAAAATAAGCATCTCCATGCTCATCTCAGTCAGATGATCAATGGTAAACTCAATCTATCCTGTTATATTCAAAGCAAGGCATTTCCGACATTGAGTAATGAAAGCTGGATGGCAAATGACATTGGCATCACTTGGTTGCCCTATGTATACACAATGTGCTTGTAAACAAAAGCCAGAACTCCAAATACCAAACTTATTAGATTCATGTCGCACGATTCCAAGCTGGAACTTAATTAGAAAAGACACCGCTAAATCCACAAGCATTATGACAAACTGGTGCAGAAGTCTTGAGACGTGGGAAGTGGGTGAATGTGGCAAAAAGGCAGTGGAAACCATGGAAAATTGAAAAAAACATTGAATAGGAAAAACTTTGAATTAAAAAAGGCAAATTAACAACCGCAAATTCTAAAAATGCACGTGGTAAAACTTGTTGGCATATTATATGCATCCATGTACAGGCAAGTGTAACAAACGAGTTGCGCTCCAAAAGCACTAGACACTGTCTACTCTTCTGAGACAACATTTCCAGCAAAAGACACTGAATTGAAAACTGCACATCCTAAACCCTTTTGAAAATTTTTTTCAGAACTTTTGCTGACATCCATTTGTCTACAATCGTAGGAACGTACTAATTGTAGGATATCCAAATTGGTTGGTTGACAAAATGCAGCCCACAATTTAGCGAATGCCTGGAAATTTTAGCGACCATTACTCTTTTCCTGCAGAGACTTTTCCACCGCTTAATCGTCCCCACATGCACTTATCAACCGATATGCATCAACAACTGCAAATTGTCTCGGGGATGGATTTTTCCCAAAGCTGATGATGTAGGATACCAATTGTTTACATATCACCATTATTAAACTGTCACAGACAACCGAGAATCTGAAATAAAGCCAAAACAAAAATGAAAGTGCCAATCTGTCTGGGTACATATGGCAAGGAAAAACAAAGTCGAGATAGAGGCAAATCTGTAAAAACAGAGATGTGATGGGCACCAATGATTGTGGAGTGTCTGCTTCAAACATGATGACCGATTTGAGTGGCTGGTGCAAAGGTGAAGTGTTCAACCCATTCTCAAGTAACAGAGGGGAACACAGTAAAACACTAAAACATAAATTAATGTTACACAGTTGTCTAACACCCCCCCTCCCTTCCTAGCTGAATGCATCTGCCAGTTTGTCAGTCCGGCTGAGTAAATTTGATTAAAAGAGTGCAATGTGGATGGCTGCATGGAGAAAGATTGGCCATATTGCACTGGCATTCCAAAAGTGCCCTCAAAAAAACAGGGGCACAACTTATAAACATTACAGCCCGCCAATGGTGCTGGACAGAGTGTACTGTCCGGCTCCAAATAACCCCCCCCCAAAAAAAAATCAAAAACACACAAAAATTGGCTCACCAATGCAACATCAACAATCAAACACACATGTACACCTCATGGCTCCAGCAATATTTTCTTTCTTTCATTTTTAATAGCGCAAAGAACGCAAGCACTGCGAAATCATCACATTATTTCTTTATTTGATAACAAACTTGCCTGTCCACCTCAGGAAGCAGAACAAAATTATCAACAAATATCCTGGCGCACATTCAATTTGACTGATGAAAGAACTGCAAGTTCGTGAGACGTTATCAAATAAGAAGTCGAATCAGTGAGTCAACATTTTTTTGTAAAACGTTCATCAAAGTGGAGAGTTCCTTTTTTCGGAACAAACATGTTCCGGGAAAAGGTCAGAATAAATTTACTCTGACGGGGAAAAGTTTAAATTTTGTTGGCGCTGGCATTTCAAAAGTGAAATTTGGAAGAGACTTTCTGTTCATGGGATGATGGCTCTCTAGCCTGGTTAAAGATGAATAATTGCCAACCCTTTAAAAGAATCCAGACATACAAGGCAATACATCCTTAATGAGCAAGGTGTTGGCACCAACTTTGTTCAGCACACTTGAGCATGACATGGCAATAAATATATGCTCTTTTTATCCATGGGCAACTAAGATTTATTAAGAGTTGTAGAATCTCCATTCACCATGGCCAGCTCTGATGAATGAACACTTGATATATACATGCAATCCCGCAGATGAGCCAAGTGGAGCCAAGTCTTCAGATATGAGACCATGGCCGATTGGTAGACAACCACCAGCTGACTCTCTTACGCTTGGTACATGCCATCTGATTGGTCACAAACATGAGTCAAGAGTCAAGATGCAGATGTCTTGCTAAATAAGGCAGCTGCTTTGTCTATTCCACAGACGAGGGTATTACTAACACTCAGGGGAAAGTACTCAACTACTCATATGAGATCAAAAAGTTCTGTTTCTCAATATCTGCACATGTACATTTTATTTCAATATGGATGATAAACAACCAAAGTGAACATAAGATCTTCCTGTTCTTAGTACTCAGTTCCTTGTACGATTCTTTCCTCCTTTGTAAGTGCCTGTGCTTAGACTGTGGAAGAGTGCAAAATGATAAGAACCACAATGCTTCATCCTCTGTCGTGTAGTATAAAAACTAGCATGTGCAGCACGTCGCTGCAGCACCATGTCAGCTGAACATTAATAGATGTGCCAACAAGCTGTGCTCCTTCCTAAGGTCAGGCATTACCAGACAATAGATTACAATTTGGAATGACCTGAAGGCTAATTTACATACCTTTTAATCAATTGTGTGGTAATGCCTGACTTCAGCAAGGAGTACGGCTAGGTTGGCACATCTGCATTAATCCATCAAGGATCAAAATAGCAGTGAAAACAAATATGATTGAAATGGACTCACGGAATGGTTCTGTGGAACAGCACCTCGACATCCAGTTTGCCGGCACTCTCCAGGACGGAGTAACTGGATGCAGCAAATGTAAATTTCCCCCTCAGGTCCTCTGGGAAATAAAAACAAAAAACAAATTTATACTTGATAAATACTTGCAGGATACTTTTAAGGCAGAAAAGCAGTTCTTACTGGAGTATTTCTTGGATAGCTGAATTGGATGGGTAAAAAGTTACGGTTTTACAGATCAAACACTTGAAAATGAATAAATCTGGAATACATTTTTAGGGAAAGGAGCAAATGGAATATTTATACCACAACAGAAATATAGTTGAGAAATTTATTGGAGAGTAATGGAAATATTGAAATAAGAGTAAACGATTGTATACTTTCACGCCTAAAAAGAGGAAGACTATTTTGAAATGATTGTAACTGCGTGGCCCAAAAGTTCAGAATTCTCTAGGCATCACCCACCTGTGATGGGCACCTCAGAGTCGTTGTCTCGCATCGTGCGGACTTTGTCCACCACCTCGGCAAGGCGGGGATGGCTGGCTGAGGATGGCTTATAGCCATTGACTCGCTTCTTACCTCCCAGGATGGAGCGGACAGCAGCGTGCCGAAATCTGCCCCGGGGAAATAAAAATGGGGAGACGAGACACAATGAGTGACAGCACTGCATGGGGGAGGGGGTGATGACACAGAGGTTGGTGCTTAGCAATCCCCACACCTCCAAAAAGGGGGCAAGAAACTATTTCAGGATAACAACTGTTATAAAAAGGTTCCTCTTGTTTTTTTTTTATCTTCCATGGCCTTCATATTTCAGCAAAACTCCCCCCCCAAAAAAAAATTGAAATATTTCCTAACACAAAACTGAATGTTAGTTGCAAATTCACTAACTTGTAGGTATTTGCAGTGTAATCATAATTTTTGGTTTCCAAAACTAGCCTTCTCTAATAGTTTTTGAAGAGTTTTGAGATGCTCACAGCTATGCATAATATACTTTACTATCTCAATGAAAAAAAGCTACGACTCTGAAAGTTGTTGAGTATTAGAGGCTTATAGAATGTAAATGAGAATTAGTAAAAGCAATGATTTCTATATTGTCAAACCTGATATAGTGAGTTGATGATATTCGTGTGGATTAAAAGTGGAAATGAGAGAAACGGTTAGATTGGTCAACTTCAGGCTGATGAAGATTATATGATGGATTTTAGAGACATGGAGATGTATTTTTTTGTTGCCAGGAGATGAAAATTTATGTTGGATATTTTGCTCTTCACTAATGTTTATTTAAATGACTGAGTGTACAATGTTGTAATGTGACAAGTACAGCATGTAACTTAGAAGTTGGACCCTAGGCCTAAATTTCCCCCTCCACCCCCCAAAAAACAGAATTTTAAATTTATCAATGACCCATCTTGAAAATAGTTTGCGGTGCCCGCTGCTTCATTTGACTCAGACCGGCCAGCCGACCCCGGCAAGCTCAGTGGTTGAGTGGTTAAGACATCTGCACTAGTAAGCAGGAGGTCATGGGTTCGAGTCCCACCCGAGTAAGCTTATGAGGGTTTTTTTCACAAGCTCTCTGACAAGCACTGAGCATACAGTGCTTATTAATATACATTGGGTAAGGGCAAAACCTGTTTTATATATAATTAGTAACCCATCTGTTAACCTCAAAATCCACCAGGCTTTGAAGGATTTTGCTGGATTTAGGGAGGTTGAGCTGAGACACTTATGGGCTTGATGCCCTTTGAAAGTCTGTCCCTGGAGTTCATGTGCAAAGACAAGTGTAACTTGAACCATGGGTCCTCCACTGTGGAAGATTCATGGAGAGTTTCAGGAAGTTTACAGGTGTCCCTGGCAAATATGCCCCATGAGTTTGGGGCTAACTAAGCATGGTGTTAGTGACAGAAGAGGAGATTTGTTAAAAAGAAGATATGCATCAGGTGCAAGGAGGTGGGAGAAGAAAACGAGTCAGTGATGAGATTATCATTCCTCAGAACCCATTGCTCATGGAAAAATGATGACATGATGGTGTCAGCAGCTGGCAGACAAGGCACACTAGTAACCACCATGACTAATTGACTTGAAGTATAAAGGGACCGGCTATAGTCGTAAGCGATAGCCAGGTATCTTCAAAAAGTAACAATTGGGGGCAGCTCTACAGCGATACCTTCCCCATCCAATGTTTCCTGACCCCACCCTGAACATGACAGATTAATGCCATTTTGCTATAAAGCCAAAACACTGACACTAAAAAGCATCGAAATGTTTCAAAATATCAGAAACACAATTGATTTCTCTGACAATGTACTTCAGCCCCCATCCAAAACAAACCGTCCACTTAGAATGGGTCCCAGTTACTTGAAATGTAAGAAATAAGCTACTTCTTTGTTTGCCTTTTTTTTTTAAATTGATACCTATTTGTGCGGGGCTCACAATAACATGTAGACATTTCAAAAAGTCGAGAAATTATCACAATATATGTTTTTACAACAGCAAAAATATGGCGATGCATTCTTTTTTCATGAAAGAGAAAAGACGTATTCAATCTTATTAGATGTGGTATTACATGCAGGGGCAGTTATTGTTGTCCAGTGAAAGCAATATGCAAGTCTGTCACCGTTGCCGTGGCAACCTTGTCAATGACAACCTAAGTCCTTTAGGCTGTTTCATTCTGGGGATGGTCATTACGGGCGAATGGCTCATGAAATAACAATTGAGGTGGGCATTAAAAGGCCATATTTCTGCCAACGTGATGTATCTACGTTCCATAAAATAAAATGGCTTCATGCTACTTTCCGTCTGCAAAGTTTGAGACTTGTATTCACATCGCTGTGCAGGACTACCAACTGATACCCCATTCTCACACGTAATGAAGAAAAATTGACAATGTTTGCACTTATCGGACCAAGTAAATGCCCTGCATGCACTCTCTGCAGAACTCTTTATATACATCAGAGATTGCAGAATATATCCCCGGGCAGAACTTTTCTCTTGTGGTCTGATCCTAACTAAGTGAGGATACTTGACAAGAAATGCCGCTTCAAATTCACATGCAAAGCAGGCAAACTGCTTGGAATAGGTCATGAATAAAGAAATATACTTGTTGATATGTGGCCAAATGGTTAGAGATGGTAACGCTTGATCATGATTGGGTCTGGGTTAAAATCCTGCAGTGAAGCGTTCGTCATGATCTTGGGCAAGCCACTTTGCCCTCATTTGCCTCTCCACCTGGGGGTATAGGCCTGTACAGGGATACCTGAGAGAGCAGAGAGGGTTATTGAGGTTGATGAACCAGGAACCACTAGAAATGGTTGCACCTATCGTTGACTACTCCTAAGGAAGTTGAGATGGTTTGTAGGAATAGTTCTGGGACCGGTGAGTAGGGGCACGGCATGAGTCGCATTAAGAGCCATTTAGAATTGAAATGCGCTATACGAGCATTGTATTAGGCCAGCAGCCTGTTTTTTACTGAATGAAGTTATTATTAGTCAGGGTGGACATTTCTCTGCTTCAGCTCTGCAGCATAATTCCCCCCCCCCGAGGGGGGAATGCAACTGTGCCTCATTTGCCAAACTGCTGGACAATTTCCAGTGGATCTCTCTACAGAGTTTGTGAAAACCCAAAAGTGATGATGGACAGGCAGAGAGACAGACAGACAAACAAAAACCAAACAAACACTCTCCTACTCTACTGGAGTGTCTACGCTTGATCTTTCTATCTATTGTCAAGAGAATAGTTGCTGGCATGCACTCACCCGCCCTTGTTATATGGAGTAAATGTGTACATATAACTGGAAAACATAAAACATTAACATGCAAGTTAAGCTTAGGTGGGCTCAAATATATCCACACAAAAGTTTCAACGATGAAGTGCTTTATTTTGGAGGGCTTTTGGCATTCTTTTTTATTGAGATCATGGACCTAATGAGTAAGTCCTTGGTGAAGATGACAATTCCATGCAAGGATTAATGAATGAAAATGAAAGCCAGGGACATGTAATGGTTTCTTCAAAGGAAATAACCAGTAAAGCATGCTGAGTTCTGCTCCCGACAAACTTCTTTTCGAGTTGCAATTCTTGCATTTAAAAAAAAACGGGCATACAAATGACAGGCATAACACAGCAGCATGCACAATGCTCACATTAAGGAATATTGATGATAATGAATTAATGAATATGCAGTACACACAACCAATGTATTCATTTTCAACACTACCAAAAAATGACCTTTAAAAATGATCAAGGTTGAAATTGAGCAGTATTTGATAGTTACATCCATTAGTTCTCTTTAACGTTTTACCGCTCCATAATCTTCCAACAAACACAGAAGCACCTGTCAAGGGCTGATGGGAGAACAAACAAGCACACCACCCCCCCAAAAAAGATGACAAAACACGCAAGTCTATCCCCAAATGGAGATAAACAGGAACAAGGGAGGCTGGCCAATAATTGAGAACTTTAGAAAGCTCGGAATAACAATCACTAAAAACAACCTTTGCGGGAAGCAATTTTTGCGTGTTTGCCACCTTGAGTCTTGAGAGATTCCTGTCATCTGTCTTCCTGCGCAGATGAAACCTTGTCCTGTTAATGAGGCACGTATTTGCATCTACAACCCACTCGTCTTCACACGCAGTGACATTTCAAATTAATACCAGCCTGGGATATTAATGGAGGTTTCATTCCAGTCAATTAAGGTAAAGGAACTCAGGCAAAAATGCATCAGTCCCAATGGAAATCCCTGTGAATTATTCATGCCACTGCTCATACAAATGCCCCCATTTTCAGATCATAAAGAAATGACTATATTTCCTCTTTTTTTAAAATGAGAACACCCGTCCAATGTATAGAGCAATCTTGACCATAATAAGAGAACGCAGTGCTCAAACTGTACTGCCTATGTGCGGGTCGTACGTGAGCTTAAACTAATGGCGTGTTTACAATTTACCAAACAGATGTAATATGCATCTAAAATTAAACAGGGGTTTGAATGGCCACTTACACTGAGAGTGGCTGAAAACAGCAAACAAAAAGCTGAAATGTAAAAAGTTCCCACATTTTTGTGCAGACCAGGTGGACAAAA